TGTGCCTGTTTGGAGGTGGTGCAGTGAGCTGGCGCAGCAAGAAGCAGAACGAGGTGGGGCAGTCCTCGTGTGAGACAGAGTACATGGCCCTGCATCATGGGGCAAAGGAGGTAGTGTGGCTGAGGCGTCTGTTGGAGGAGATCGGAGTGTGCCAGAAGGAGCCAACCGTGATTTTCTGTGACAACGAGTCGGCACTGAAGCTTGCCAAGAATGCCTGCCTTCATGGGCTGACAAAGCACATCAGGCCCAAGTGGCACTGGGTGAGGAGGCTCCTGGACAAGGAGGTGCGGCTGGAGATTGTGAAGACCCATCAGCAGGCGGCTGACATTCTCACCAAGCGCCTGGCTGAATCTGAGCATTGGAAGGGCATGAAGCTTGCTGGGATGAGTGTGCATTGAGGGTGCATGCTTGAGCTATGGCATGTGGGATGATGGTTGGCAGCCAGAGGGGGAGTTTGTTGTGTGATGCAATCATATGCATTCACGTCTGTCTGCCTCGCATCATGTGTTCGTGCGCTGCATGCGTGGTGTGAGCGTGTGCAAGAATTTGAGGTTTGTGCGGTTTGGTTTTTCTGAGTGTGTGTGTATGTTATTTGGCTTGAGCAGATATCTGAAGTGACTCCTCTGCTCAAGAGCTTTCCGACGAACCAAGTATCGCCTCAATCGGAGCACGATCAAGAAAGTTACGAACGTTGGAGTTCGTATGCTTTTCATATTTGATTGTGGCAATTGTGGGAAGTTGTGGGGTTGACTCAATATGGGGTACAGACTTTTGGGGGTTGGGAAATTCGTCTTTTCTACTGTAGTTGCTGCCAAATGGTTGGGAGAAACCAAACCAGGTTGGCAAGTGTGGCCAAGTTGGGTTGAGGTGGATTGTGGAGGTTGGGATAGTGACAAAGGTCAAAGTTGGGTTGCCTATGGGGAAGGGAATTGTGTGGCATGGGGTTTCCTTGGTTGGGGACTCTCTTGGGACCTTCCCTCTCATCCTCCTCATCCCTTCCACCTGGTTTAGTGCTACTCTAACTCTCTTGTGTAGTAATTGTGAACTTGTGAGACTCTTGTGATTGAGTTAAGTTCTTATGGCAGCATACCCCCCTGTGTGCCGAAATTTATAAGTCGAGATTTACTTCACCTCTTGATACGATTCAAATTGGGAATTGTAGCCACGGACTAGGGCTACATTATATCTGACTTTGGTGAAGTTTTGACCGTGAAGTTTTTGTCGACGGCGTTTCTTGTGAGCGCGACTATTCTGTCCAGAAATAGAGACCAACGATTTTGAGAAATCTAGGCACCTAATCTTCATAAACTCCGTCCTTAGTCTATAACAGCACGCCGTCAACCTGCGACGTTGGCACGCCGTCGACTTTGCACTGCTGGAGCACGGTCGACCAAGTCGTGCTGGAACGCAGTCGACCGTGCTGCGCTGGCAGTCGACTGACCTGAATGCTAGCTCTGATGTAGTCTTGCCATGCCAACTTCATTGGACCATTATTGTCAACTTTCTCTAGTGAAACTCTTGCCAACTTGCCCCGTGAACTAGCAAGAAGTGTGAGCACTAGGAAAACGACTAAGGGCCAACGAACGTAGAGATCACACGAGCACCCGTGTCTAGCCCGTAGTCTAGCTCACGTTGCAGTAGTTATCTCCGCATGGGCGGCTATAGTACGACCAAAGATTTTGGAGGAGAACTGCAACTGCAACTGCGGATTTTCGGTGTTTGATCCGAGCGACAATTTCGGAGTTTGACAAAGGACTTACCGCTTTCACGGCGAGGGGCGCCGACATTTTCGAGAGAGAGTACTTCGGCGTTTGGTTAAACGCGTGCGACAACGACGCAGGGCAACACCGCGGGAACTACACAGAGTTTTCAAGGGGTACGAATGACTTACGACGAACTGAAGAAGGCGGCAGCAACAGTGAAGGGGGGGAGAGACATCTGTAAAATTTCATCCCTGCCCACGAACCATCGGCGCTTTATGACAAAACTCTCGAAGAAACCATTCCAACTCTGCTACTGACAACTCGCCTTCGACCCGCCCACGACAACTGCATTTAATATCAACCACGTCAGGTGTTGCCAGCTGCAACTGGTGAAGACACCACCGAAGATTCTGGATGCGTCACGACAAGAATTGACAGTTCGAGGTCTTTGATTAATTCGACACTGTTTCTGGGCTACATCTACGGGTTCGCCATTGAAGAATTTTTGGGCACGTAATTCCTGGTTTCGTCATCGACTTTTCACACCGACGCGTTTTCACTTGGGTTTCTATGCTCAACGGCTTTCTCAGTGGGACTTGACACCTGGTTTTGTTGGTTTACATCTCGGCGCAGCTGCGGGGGTTTTCTGATGTGTTTTCTTGGAGGGGGGGAGAAAGTGCAGTGCACTTTTCTTTCCTTGGCGTTTCTCTCGGTCCTTTCTAACTTTGTCAGGTTGCGTCAGCACGGCGGACGATCGCGATCACACTGACACAATCAACGGTCCCTGTTCAATCGCGTTTGAATTTGCGTCAGCAGGTTCCCTCTCTTTTCGCGTCAACTTTCGACCGTCAGATCAACATCTGCTCGATCGACGGCCCACATTCCAACTTCTACTACATTCTCGCCAGTTCATTGTCGACCGTCAGATCGAAAACGGACTTCATCAACAGCCTACATTCCAACCTTTTCAAAAATATTGTCAAAGGCATTTCAGCCGTCGGATTCAGCTGAAGAGGGGATCTACGGCGTCCTTGCTAGTGTGGGGCCTGTTTTTAGTACAGGGCTGACTTATTTAGAAGGTGGGAGAGTGTAAGGATTTACAAATCCTTACTGAGGCACTCGTTAGCGAGGCCATCCCGAGGGTCATGCGACGAACCTGTTCGGCCTAATTCGTCGTACCGAACCACCCCCGAGTCGGCCTCCGCACCAAACGCAACCATCACCAAGCCATCCCATCCCGAACCCCCCGCCTAGCTAGCTTGTCCCCTATTTAGGCCTTGGCGCTTCCATTGTATCTTCATTCAGTACTCAATCATTCTCGTTATTCGTTTTATTGTGCACTCTGCAAGTTCATTCATAACATCCACCCTTTCAAAACCATCCGCCCTTGCTTACATTCACGCAGTGGTTAGTTGGTCAGCGCACGATGACACAGACTAGACACTCCGCACGCAACAAGGGCCAACAAGCTGTTAGTAGTCAGCCCGCCGTCGCGCGGGGGAAACAAACAAACCAGGGCAGGAAGGATGCGAGCGGTAGTGTGCCGACTCCGAGCCCTGAATTCAAGGTCCCGGTCAAATTAGAAGGCGTACAAGTGCTGCCCGAGCCTGACGACATAATATCGAGGTTCGCGAAGGGAGTCAGAGTTCCAGACTGCGCGACCGATAGGCTACCTAGGTCTTTTAAGAGTGACCATTTCCCTTCCCATGAGATAGAATACCATCACGGCCAGCGAGCGAAGGACTATCATGGATGCCCTCCACATACAGGATGGCTACGAGCTGACAACGTCAACCATCGACTTTTACCACGTGTGAGTCACGTTCAGTATGTGCCTTGTTCGACTTATTCATCTCCATCATGTAAATGGTCTGTCTTGTCCCTATTGTTCTAGGGTGTTGAGTCTTTTTCACCAGCAGCTACCATTCGGAAAAACGTGGTTGGCTCTAGACACGCTCGCCTACCAAACCGTCACCAGGGGACAGGAGCTAGCATGCGGTGTCGAGTGCAAAACTCTCTTCGAGCGCGACTACCTTTGCATCGTGGTTTTCACCAAGTAAGAGATTCAGAAAATTCGGAAGGCAGGGAAATCGTTTGCGACAACTTGATATACCACTCCGTGTCATGCATAACCTGACTTTACCTGCTTTATGGTTTTTTGCAGAGTTCCAGTTCATCATTTCAGCCTTGGCGTTGTTAAGGACCCCAGTATGCTGCTGCTAAGTAAGGAGGAATACGATGCCTTGACGCCACCAGTACCGGTAACAGCGGTACTGTATGACTCCACACGCTTGCATTTCGACATGTGCGAGGTAGTTTTCACAAACATCAACGAGTGAGTTCATTATGCTTCGTCTTTTGCTGGGGATAGATACTGTTTTTTGTGCACACATGTATACCTCGGTCTAATAATCCCCTTTCCCTCGTGATCCATCCGCAGGCTACTTGGGCGGGCCCTTAAAAAGGCCAACCCTGATCTGCCATGGGTGGTAGTGACAGAGAGGCTTACACGCGTGAGCAGCCGTGCGCTTGAAGTGAGCATGCCACACTAGTGTTTGCTGTTTTGATGCAACTAACCTGCGAAACACGGTTTACCACTCTTTTCTAAACTGGGGTTTCTATTCTTTTTATGTTTATTACTGTAGTACTTCGAGGTACCTCAGCAACAAAACGGTGTGGACTGCGGGGTCTACGTTTGTATGTTCACTAAGGAGCTTCTAGGCCGATGTTTCCAATTCATGGAAGAAGGGATCCCCCACCCCCGTTACAGTGCCGCGCAATGCAGGCGCGAATTCCGTGCTCTGATGTGCGAGGCCGGCGAAGGTACTGTGCTAGAATCGTTGACACTGAAGGGGGCCGACATTCCCCCACCAAGTGAGCAGCACAGGGGGGGATGAGAGTGATAGCAACATTGTAGTTGAGGAGATAAAGGAGCCAACGGTTAAGTATGTGGCGGCGGAGCAGTGTGCCCATGCTGCACAGCTCAAGAACCTGCATGAAGACGTAGAGTCCCTGAAAGATTCCGTTTACAAGGGAGACCAGGGGCTCGTCAAAGTGACCGTGACTCTATCATCACTCTTTACGACCTTCCAGCAGATGGCTGCCAAGATAGGGTTCAATCTGCCGATGGCTGGCCTGGAGGCTCTGAACAGCAACGAACCCGCCAACTCTACTGCTGCAGCCCCACCGCCGCATCGTATGGCCGGAGCATCATTTGAAGCTCTTGTTAACAGGAGCGGTGCTCCCCACACTTCCTCTGCCGGTCGGTCACATGCGCGTCCACCAATTTTCGCGACAATGCTAGGTTATGTCCAAGGCCAGGGAGCCACAACCAGTGCACAAGAGTCTGCGGCGGGTCACTCTGGCCTCGCGGCCGTCGCTTCTGCCTCCGCGCCTAGTCAGCCGGTTGCTGCACCATGTGTTACTACAGCAGCAGCGGGGCAGCCAGGTGTCGCTGAGGGTTCTCTTCCAGCTGCAGCGGCGCAGCCAGGTGCACCTGCTGGTGCTCTTCTATCTGCTCAAGGTCAGCTAGGTGCCTCTGTCGGTGCTCGGGCAGCTGGGGTTGGATAGCCAGGTGCAGCAGCGGTTATGCCAGCATCAGCAGGAAGTCAGCCGGGTGCACTTTCTACAGCTGCGACTGGTCAGGCAGGTGCAGCAGCCAGGAATCCTACCGCCGCGACAGGTCAGAGAGGTGCAGCGGCCGTGGTTCCTACTGGAGTGGAGTGTTGGCCCCGCCCTCGCTTGGGCAACGCCGACGACTTGGTCGGGTGTCCGGGAGTAGCAGCCGACAGTTCACAGTGGGAGAGCTGCTCGACAGGTATCGTCGAGCTGCAGGGGACCGCTGTGGTGCTGCTGTCGACCAGGAAGCTCGACAGCTGCAACGGACTGGTCTGGGCAACGGGTGGGTCGTCGACCAGGAGGGGCAGTTCGACCGGGAGGTTTCCGTCGACCTGCAGCTCGACCAAGGAGTCTCCGTCGGCCTGCAGTTTGACTGGGAGGTCGACGGAGCAGTCCGTCAACCTGACAAGTGAGCAGCGGTCGACGAGGGGAGCTCGGCGACAACCGCTGACGATTCTGGTCGACGGAAGGGGTCCGTCGACCAGGGGGTAGCTCGACGGGAGTTGTGGTCGACCAGAGGGACCCAGTGGTCGACCAGAGCTCCTGGAGGTCGACCAGGTCGACCGGGTGACTTGCTCGACGAGTTCTGCGGAGGCACGTGAACGTCGTCAAGGTCGCAATGGCGCAGGCGACTTCGGGCTGGTATTCGGAAGTCGATGTGGATCGTCAGGCGCGGACAACAGCCGACGGATGCCCAACAAGGCAAGTCGGGCCAATCGTCTGCGCGCACCTGCGAGCGTGCGCACTGCTGTGTTCTACGGGGCAACGTTGGACAGCCGCTCTGCTGCAGCGTTGGCACGCCGTCGACCTGCTCTGTTGGCAGGTCACCCTTCTGCAGTGCTGGCGCGGCTCCTCTACGCAACGCTGGCAGGCAGTCGACCGAGCTGTGCTGGCAGTCGACCAGGCTAGCTGCAGGGTTGCTAGGTGCCTGATGTAGTCAGTCTATCATTGCTTGTTCTATCATTCTGTAATTCCAACTTTGCCTAGTGGAAAATCTTGCCGATTTCTCCCGTGAATGTGCAAGCACTAAGGAACTAAGCAAAGCTACGATCACTCCTAGTAGTTCGTGCCAACCCCCGTAGTCGAGCTCACTACCATTGTAGAGTGATTATCCGCACCTACCGCCTCTACGGGTCAGACAGGTGCAGCCGCCGGTGTTCCGGCAGCAGCCGCGGGTCCGCGAGGTGCAGCAGCCAGTGTTCCTACAACAGCATCGGTTCATCCAGGTGCTGCAGCCGTTGCTCCGACGACAGCTGTGGTTCAGCCAAGAAATGATACCTGGGATATAGGGGGACCGCACACGGATCTCACCACATTTCATCCAGGTGTGCTGGTCCAGGGTGCTGTACGGTCGGAAGCGGCCTATGAGACTGCAAGGGCAGCTGTTGTTCAAACGGGTTCCTCTGCTTGGTCCTCAGGCGAGCAGTTTTTTGCTCCCTCTGCCTTTCCATCCGCGATGCATTTCCAGGGAGCACAACCACCATGTGCGGTAGGGTATGCTCCACATGCAGGTGGTGTTCAGCCGGTCGACTCTACAGCCGCCGTGCCATCAGGGCCGATTGGCCATGCTCTGCAACCTCCAAACGTGCTTTACCTCGGTTCTGGACAGCAACACGCGTCCGTGCAACTGCCGTTCTCGTCGCATCGCCCCCTCGTTCATGATTCTACAGCTTTACTCGTATCTGATGAGGCGCTCGACAATGTCAGTGGCCAACGTGGGCACACATCCGCCTCTCGTGGTCGAGCTCTATCGAGCATGCTCTCCGGTTTCGTGCAGGGGTCGCAATTGGTACTGCCCTCCCCAGCTGCCTCCACATCTATGCCGCCCTCGACCCAAGGAGGTGAGATCGGCGAGGAGGCCACCTCACAGGGGTTCACTGGCGTCACAAAGAAGCAGGGCAAGGACGAGTGGATCGCAAGGATCGTCCTGGACCGCTCATCGCAGTCGCTGATAGTCATCAACAACCACTTTGGATCCGAGGTCGAGGCGGCAAGGTCAATAGCCGCAGCTTCGCATGTGATGTTCATTGACAATCCAACGCGTGGCGATCTCATACCCTTGACTGCCGACGACAAGGCAAAGCTACGAGGGTGCACGGCTAAACAGTGTGAGGTTATGGTCCGAATGAAGTTCTAGCACATGTGGGAGGAGTGGAAGAAATATTGGCCGGCAGCGAAGGCAAAGTATGACGAGAAAATGCGCAAGGCAGATCGTAAGAGAGCGGCACTTCAGTTGAGCTTGGGTGAGACTGATGCTCGACCCGACAAAACAGCAAGAACGAGAGGTGAACTAAGTTTCGGGGCGGAGACTGGAAGTAAACAGGAGGGTTCGGGATTTAAGGATGCATAAAGCAGGGCTTGATGACTGGATGTGGGTGTGTTTTGAGACACTTTGCCTCCCTCATTGTGCTTTCTGCTTCAAAACCTCATTGTGCAACCTGTGTCTATTTCATTCCTAGTGTGTGTAACAACGTCAAAATCTTTCTCAGTGTGGCATAATGGCCGCTCACTGCTACAAATGCTTCTTTTGGAAACATGAATGTTGTTTCACAAGAATGTCAAACGATGACAGGATTTTTTAATAATCAAGTACTAGCAAAGCGCCCGCAATAGACACATCTCGTGGGCCATGGCTTGTGTGAAGGACTTGTGAACGCTTTGTGAACAAATCATTGCCAGAAACTTTGCACTAGTGAATGTCAAGTGTAGTCGCCGGTAATCCCTCGTGACGAGGGCGTGACGAGTAACTATTGCTTCACGGTCAACGAACGCAAGACTGCACGACAATCTATCACGTCAACAGTGTACACTCCGCAAACAGTCAGTGAAACATCTGTGACCTCTGCGTCGTTCCCATGGTGGGGGCCTCGTAAACGGGTCGTGAATGGAGGATGGTAAATTCATCGCGTCATCAGTGTACACTCTTCATACACCCTGTGAAACATCCGTGACCGCGTCGTTGATTCCATGGTGTGTGCCGCGTAAAAGTGTCGTTAATGGTTACGTCATTCCCGACTCACCATGCCGTGTCAACTTTCGAGCAGTTCTCGTTATCCGAAACACTCCATTGTCGCAATCGTGAACCAATACTGCACTCAGTATCATTTTACTATTTTATTATTACCATATAGTGAGAACAAACATATTCTAAGAATCCCCCAGTGAAGCAAGGGTGCGGTAGTATGTGTACTAGCAATGCACAAAATCCCTGACCATCCCATCCAGTCGGATGCAGAAAACATTACAGGTTCCTATGACATGTCTCTCGCTACCAAACCCCAAGATAATCTGATCTTGACTAACATAACGACTCCTACTAAACGTCTTGGATTCCCAGGTAGTGTCCAATTTCGATGAGCCACAAAAAGCTTGGTGATTATCTAAACGATGATTGCAGAGTATCATACACCATGGCTCTTTGTTTCGTGGAACCTTCCGTCTCTACTACATAGGCCATGACCTACTCAGCCAACTAGTGAATATGTTTGTAACTTTATCACATGTAGCAATCATTGGACTAGTTCATGCCTATGATACCGTCTTACCTCATAGATGCACTGTTTGATGCTCAGCTTTGATGCACTTAAACAGGATCCTGCTTTATATGTTTTATCCATTTGGCCATAAAATTCGTTGCCTAATTGTATTGTTCGTATGTAACAAGTTTGTAAACCTTACAAGCAATTGGTTTGTAATTCTGTGTAGGTTAGTTGATGTTGGGATTTCAGCAACTTGTGTCGTAGGCCCCTCCTGTTTCATGTACCCATTAATTCCAAGTGGATACTGTCAAACTATATGTGCTGCTTGTTGTGTAGGCTGTAGTGGGGTAGCCCATATAGGGTACAACACCAATTAGGGTTTCCTACTTGTACCCATCCTGCTGCTAGTTCATTCATTCCTGTTCGTTATTCTGACATGGTTTCAGAGCAGGTCCTAGCCTAGGACCGATTTCTTAGGGCCCACCGAGTAGCGCTACCCCACCCGTCGCGCCACTGTGATCGCGTTGCCCTGCCCTGTCCTGCCCTGCCCTGCCCTGCCCTGCGCCGCCTGCTGCAGCGCGCACTTTTGTTTGCCTGCGCGCCACCTGCTGCAGCGCGCCCTGCTGAGTCACGCGCCACCTGCAGCAGCGCGCCTTGCCCTGCCCGTGCGTCGCGTCGCCGCATCGCCCTGCCCGCGCGTCGCGCCGCGCGCCCTGCCCTGCCCACGCGCCGCACTACCGCGCACCCTGCCTTGTCCGCGCGTCACATCGCCGCGTCGCCCTGCCCGCGCGTCGCGTCGCGCGCTCTGCCCTGCCAGCGCGCCACCGTCGCGCGCCCTGCCCTGCCTGCGCGCCGCGCCGCCGCGCGCCCTGCCCTGCCTGCACGCCGCGTTGCCGCGCGCCCTGTCCTGCCGCGCGCCTCTGCCTTGCCCGCGCGCCGCACCGCCGCGCGCCTCTGCCCTGCCCGCGCGCCTCTGCCCTGCCATGCGCGCCTCTGCCCTGCCGTGCGCGCCCTGCCCTGCCGTGCGCCCTGCCCTGCTGTCCGCACCACGCGCCACTATCTGCTGCACTACTGCTAGCGCACTCCCTTGCCTAGCTTGCTATGGCCACTCTCAATGTTCTCACTTTCGATGCGGAGGGACGCCCTATAGAGTTCGCTGCATGGCTAGACGATTTACAACTGTTCCTGCTGACAGACTCTAAGGACGGTACCTCACTATTTGACCTCACTTCTGGCGCCTCGCCCGCCCCTGACGCCACAGTTGGCAGTGCGACCCGCTCACAGTGGCTTACCTGTGACGCTGCTGCTTGCCTAGCTGTTCGCAACCACCTGCCGTTAGCCGAACGCGCCCACTTTGGCCAGCATAAGACAGCGAAAGCACTGTACGACGCTGTAGTCGCTTGTTACTCCTCCCCGGCCACTGCTGCTCTAGGCCGGCCTCTCTTGCCCTACCTGTTCCCAGACGTGTCCGCCTTTGCCACAGTAGCCGACCTAGTCACTCATCGCCGCACTAGTGACACTCGCTACCGTGCTGCGCTCCCCGCCGAGTTTCTCACCAAGAACCCCCCCCCCCCCCCCCCATGTACATCACACTCTACTTCATAGTCACCCGCCTCCCTGACTCTCTTACTGTAGTCAGGCACCTCTTCCTAGCACTTGACCCCACCGACCTCACTGTCGACCGGCTTGAGAAGCACCTCGTAGCACCTGAGACTAGCATAGTCGCTGTAGGTGCTTCTCGTGGCACTCCTCGCACCCCCTTCTTTGAGGGGTGTTCGCCATCCCCCATTCTCCCCTCAGTCGCCTCTGCTGCAGCTGTTGACTACCTTCGAGCTGAGGAGGTAGATGCTGCGTCTGCTCCTAGTGGGAGACGCCGCAGCGGCAGGGGCAAGGGAGGAAGGGGAGGTGGGGGTGGCAGAGGTGGAGGCGGTGGTGGGGGCAGTGGAGGCGGTGGTGGGGGCGGCGGTGGAGGAGGTACTGGTGGTGGGGGCGGCGGGGCCGGTGGCGGCGGTGGTGGCGGCAGTGGGAGTGGTGGCAGCAGCGGTGGTGGCGGCGGTAGTGGCGGCAGTGGGGGTGGAGGCGGCGGCAGTGGGGGCGGCAGGGGTGGCACCAGCCAGAGGGGAGGCCTTGGAGGTGGCCAGCGGCAGCAGCAGCGTCAACCCCTTTCGTCTCAGGAGCTCCGTGAGTGGTTTGCTCAGCGTGGGGCGGCTGGGGGTAGTGGTCCCTACCCGTATGTCATTCGCACAGGTGACCGCCCTGGTCAGACATGCGGGAGGTCTCACACTCAGCACCGCTACTTCTACCGCCTTACTGACGCCTTCCGCGCAGAGTTCCCCGGCACGGCTGAGCTCCCCGACTGGGCGGCGCTACTTAGGCAGAATGCTGATATCTTTGCTCTAGACTTTGATGCTATCCTATCTGCCATGTATACATTGTCTGTTAGTGCTGAGGGTGACTGTTACCTGTGTATGCCGCCAGACCCAGGTATAGAGGTTGCTGCTCTAGGTGCTAGTGAGTCTGCTGCCCTAGGTGCTGGTGAGTCTGCTCTCTCTGGTACTGAATCTGCTACGGCCTTGCACACCTTCACGCTTGACTCAGGTGCTTCCCGCTGTTTCTTTCGCGATAGTTCCACAGTCACACCACTTACTGCACCTATTGCTGTGTCTTTGGCTGCCCCCTCAGGGGGCCCAGTCCTTGCACGTTCCTCAACTGTTCTGCCCTGTCCGGCGGTTTTGTCTGGGTCACTGTCAGGTCTCCACCTCCCCTCATTCTCTACGAACTTGGTGAGCACAGCTGTCCTCCAGGATGCGGGGGTTAACACCTTCACCCCTGGACGGCAGAGTGTGGCGATCTCTACGTGCTCCCGGACCGGTTGCCACCTGGCTATGTTCACCCGTCGGCCTGGGTCGAGTCTGTACACACTGACTACTTTGCCTCCTCAGGTAGCTGCGTCTGCGTCTGCGTCAGGTCAGCTTGCTGCCCCCTGCTCGTGTCGCGCCCTGTCGCACCAGACGCTCCTTTGGCACCACCGTCTTGGTCACCCCTCTGTGGCACGCCTTCGTAGCATGCACACCCGTCTCTTTGTCTCTGGTCTTCCCAGGTCTCTGCCTCCCCTCCCACCCTCGCCTGCCCGTCCCTGCCTTCCCTGTATCAATAAGCGGCAGCGCACCGCTCCTCACTCCTCCTCGTTCCCCCCGACAGAGGCTCCCCTACAGACTCTCCACCTGGACGTGTGGGGCCCAGCCCGCATCCATGGACAGGGCCACGAGCGGTACTTTCTGCTGGTTGTCGACGATTACTCGCGTTATACCACGGTCTTCCCCTTGCGCCACAATGGGGAGGTCCCTAATGTTCTGATTTCTTGGATCCGCGCTGTTCGTCTCCAGCTCCGCGAGCGGTTCGAGACTGACCTTCCAGTCCTGCGTCTGCACTCTAACAGAGGTGGTGAGTTTTCCTCCGACCTCTTGCGGGCCTTCTGTCGTGCGGAGGGCATTCGCCAGACGTTCACGCTTCTGGCCTCTCTGCAGCAGAATGGGGTTGTTGAGCACCGCATTGGCTTATTCATGGAGGTCACTCGTACCTCCATGATCCATGCGGCTGCCCCCCATTTTCTGTGGCCGTTTGCAGTCCAGTACGCTGCGCATCAGCTCAACCTCTGGCCCCGTGTCTCCTTGCCGGAGACCTCGCCCACACAGCGTTGGATGGGGGAGGTTGGAGATGCGTTGATGTTAGGGGTCTGGGGATGTCGAGCCTTTGTCCGCGATACGTCCGCGGACAAGCTCTCCTCCCGCGCCGTTCCTTGTGTCATCCTTGGCTTTGTCCCTAACGCGCCTGGTTGGCAGTTTTACCACCCCACCTCGCGCCGTGTCCTGCCCTCTCAGGACGTCACGTTTGACGAGTCAATTCCCTTTTACCGTCTCTTCCCCTACCGCACTGCCCCTCTCCCTCCTCCGCCGCTCTTCCTCACACCAGGTCCTCCTCCGGTACCCCCCTCCCTCCTCAGGGTCCTGCTCCCTCAGGTGTGTCCCAGGTAGACCTTGTCGAGCCTGTCGAGGTAGCTGTCGACTATGGTGCTGCTAGAGGTGGTGCGTCTGGGGGTGCTGAGTCCGCGGGTGCGGGGCCTGGGGGTGCTGAGCTTGAGTGTGCGGAGCCTGGGGGTGCTGAGCCTTGGGGTGATGAGTCAGAGTGTGCGGAGCCTGGGGGTGCTGAGCCTGCAGGTGCGGAGCCTGGGGGTGCTGAGCCTGAGCGTGCGGAGCCTAGAGGTGCCGAGCCCGAGTATGCTGAGCCAGGAGGCCCTTCGGGTGTCTTGTCGCGTCTAGAGTCTCTCTCTCCACTACAGCTGCGCAAGTGGTTTGCTCGGCACTGGAGCCTCCGGAGTGGTGCTGCTAGAGCTGGAGCTGGTGGAGGTGTTGGAGGCGATAGTCCCGGAGGTGCTCGTACTGGAGGTACTGGAGCTGCTGGGCTGGAGGTGCTACTGGAGCTGCTGGAGCTGGAGCCCTGGAGGTACTGGAGCTACTGGATCTGGAGGTGCTGCAGGAGCTGGAGCTACTAGAGGTGCTGGAGCTGGAGCTGCTGGAGGTACTGGAGCTGCTGGTGCTGGAGGTGCTGTGCGACCGTGACCGTACTTCGTTCCACTGCTTCAGCACGTTCTTGGTCTCCCGCCTTCTACTGACCTTGCTCCTCCCTTCCTGTGTCCACCGCCTGACCAGTCCCAGCCATAGCTACTGGCAGCCACTCCGCTGCCTACTTCTTCTCCTTACACTGAGCAGCCCGGCGGTCTTACTGAGCGTCGTGAGCTTGCGTCTCATCCTCCGTTGCCTGTTCGCGCTGGTCGCACTGGTCGTCGTGTTCCGCGTCCGCATCCTCCTTCCCGGCACGCACCAGATGGCACTTCGTCCTTCCTCTGTTCCACTGCGTGTCCCTCTGCCGTCTCCTCCTGCGTCCTCCCTTGCTGACGGTCCGGACCCGGAGTCTGACTCCCTTCGTGCTGCTAGTACTACTGTCACGCGTCTCCTAGCCACTGTTGTCACCGACCCTTCCCTTGAGTCCACAGCTGCGTCTGCCTTAGTTGCTGAGCTTGTCGACTTTGCTGCTCGCTGTTGTCTAGACTACGCCGCTAGTCTTGTTGCTAAGTCTGAGTCTGTCTGTCCTCCGTCCGTCGGGGGTGAGTGTGCTCTTGGCACGGACGTCCTTGAGGACCGGCAGGAGGACTTTGAGTGCTTTGCAGCTTCTGTACCTCATCTCGTGTCCATGCTGATTGCACCTGAGGGAGACCCGGATGCACCAGACATCCCGACCCCACGCTCTTACGCAAAGGCGATAGAGGGTCCCTACTCCTCTCAGTGGCAGTCAGCCATGGACGCAGAGATGGCATCCTGGAAGTCCACAGGCTCTTACGTCGATGAGGTTCCCCCACCTGGGGTGAACATCGTCAGTGGCATGTGGATTTTCAGGGTGAAGCGGCCGCCGGGTTCTCCGTCTGTCTTCAAGGCACGTTACGTTGCACGAGGCTTCAGTTAGCGTTAGGGAGTTGACTTCTTCTAGACCTTCTCCCCTACCCCGATCATGACCACTCTTCGGGTGCTGCTGCACGTCGCCGCTCAGCGTGACTATGAGCTTCACTCTCTTGACTTCAGCACTGCTTTCCTACAGGGCAGCCTGCACGAGGAGATCAGGCTGCGCCGCCCACCTGGCTTCACTGGGTCGTTCCCTCCTGGTACCCATTGGAGCCTCCAGCGGCCAGTCTATGGTCTCCGCCAGGCGCCTTGCGAGTGGAACAAAACACTGAGGACGACCCTTGCGGCTCTTGGCTTTGCTCCTTCGACTGCTGACCCGTCGCTGTTTCTACGCACCGACACGTCGCTACCGCCGTTCTACATCCTCGTCTACGTCGAGGACTTGGTTTTTTCCACTTCTGACACTGAGGCACTGACTCTAGTATAGTCGGAGCTGCAGAAGAGACACACGTGCACAGACCTAGGTAAGCTGCGCAGCTATTTTGGCTTGCAGATCACCCGGGACAGAGCACGGCGCACCATTACCTTGACTCAGTCACACATGGTGCAGCAGGTCCTTCAGCGCTTTGACTTCCAGTACTCCTTGCCACAGACCACTCCTCTGCCTACTGGTCACTCGCTCTCAGCTCTGCCTTCGGATGAGCCCGTAGAGCCGAGTGGCCCGTATCCAGAGCTTGTGGGCTGCCTCATGTACCTGATGACCTGCACTCGACCTGACCTTGCTTACCCTCTTAACATCCTGGCACGCTACGTTGCACCCGTGAGACACCGACCAGAGCACTGGAAGGCCGCTAAGAGGGTGATGTGCTACTTGTGCAGTACGTCGGGCATGGGGCTCGTGCTTGGAAGACGGAGTCGAGTTTTCCTCACTGGTCACGCAGACGCTTCTTGGGTTGACGACTTGGCTACCCAGCGGTCGTCACAGGGTTATACCTTCAGCCTTGGTTCCGGCTCTGTTTCGTGGCGGTCTACCCGCTCATCTTCTGTTCTCAGCTCCAGCTGTGATTCTGAGAGAGGCGCCTCGTTCTCCTCCAGTTCTGTACGTCGACAACAAGGCCATGATTGCCTTGTGTCAGGAGCACAGACTGGAGCACAGGACGAAGCACATCGCTCTGCGTTACTTCCTTGCTCGAGAGTTGCAGCAGCGTGGTCAGCTTCGTCTTGCTTACGTGGCCTCTCGGGCCAACACTGCTGATATCTTCACCAAGGCACTTCAGCCTTGTGATCATCAGCGTTTCTGTACTGTTCTAGGTCTTGTGCCTACCTGGCCTCACTTGCTCACTTCTTGACTTTGCTTGTACTGTGATCTATATACTTATACATGCATGCTTACACTTGCTAGGTTATGATCACTGTACTGTTTGTTCTCCTATATATATAACTCTTCATGTGAACTGGCCTTGTGGCCATTTGCTTGTGCTCAGAATGCGTGGTGATTTCGTGATCCACCCTGAGCTTGCTTAGCCTTTCTTGACTGGTCTTGTGACCCCTTGTTCTCCCCCACTTTGCCTATGGGGGTGTGTCAAACTATTTGTGCTGCTTGTTGTGTAAGCTGTAGTGGGGTAGCCCATATAGGGTACAACACCAATTAGGGTTTCCTACTTGTACCCATCCTGCTGCTAGTTCATTCATTCGTGTTCGTTATTCTGACAGATAGATCATAGCGTTTATGAAGTTCATAACCCTGAACCCATTTATTCAAAAATTGGATTTGTATATTTTCACGAGACTAATTGGTGAATCACCTACATGAATCTGTAATGGTATACGATAGTAAATTCTCGTTGTTAGCCGTGTGGCTTTCAGTTTCATCATCGAGACCATTTCATTTGGTACACCATTCAAGCTTAACAAGAGATGTAATGTTTGTGTATTTTAACTGTTTCCAAGTGACCAATCGTGTGTGCACACTCTAGTAGTTTTATCCGGCCGAATAATACCACTAATGTCGCGTATTTCCGTGTCAAACGCTCGCCTGTCTCTACATCTTCCGAATACTGCACCTTGACAATCCCCCTGTGTGTGAGTGATGACGGCTTTACTTCTAATTCGCTATGACTCTGACCCCAATGTTCTCAAGCCTACCCGAAGTCACCAGTTGGCCACCTTGATAGAGTGAAATCCTTCGTTACCACTCTGATGTTTCGCTGTCCCATCACACGCATTTGGTGAACGTCCCGTCATGTGTCTCATTAGAGACCACCATTATTTTTACTGGCCAGGCAGCACCTCCACTATTAAAGCTCACATGCCCAAACTCAGGCACCATTTGCCAAGCGTAGTAGTTGCCGCTATTGTCTAGGAGCACTCACTAGTCCATTTCGTTGTCTTTTCATCAGGTGTAATATGGCGTCTCGTAAAAGCGAGAGATTGAGTGGAGCGAAACGTGATCCCGTCGCGGCCAAGAAAATATCGCCGTCGCGTGCACTGAAGTTTGACGTCCCCGTAACTGCTCTAGTGGTGCAAAAGCCGCCAGAACCCGACGACATAGTGCCCATATTCGCGAAATCCATGCCTGGGCCATCTCAGGGTAGCGCACTTCTTCCGCCCAATTTGACGAGCGAGCACTTTCCAACGCCATTGATCAAGAATCAGATTGGGCAGAGCGGCAACGTACAGATGGTTGATGCTCTTGGCATTCGAGACGGTTTTGAGATTCCGGCGACAACCATTAACTTCCACAACGTGTGAGTAGTCCCGTCGCTTCCGTACATTGGGGTGGGGCGAAAATTCCGGTGCTAATGTAATTCCCCTATTTCACGCAGCGTTCTGAGCATCATGCACTACGGGGAGGACTTGGGTTGCACAGGCAACCACAGCGTACCAGTCGGCGTATAGCGAGCATCTCATCTGCGACATCAGAAGCGAGTCCTTGTTCAAATACGACTACGTATGCATAGTGGTATTATCCGAGTGAGTACGGCTTGTTAAGCATGTCGGGATCATTAGGGAATGTACCCATGTACATGTTCCTCATATTGACCCTGTGTGACAGGCACCCTTACCCAAAGCACACAAGCCTGGTCGTTGTGAAGGACCCTGGATTGCTATTGAAGTCTGATGAAGAGCTTAGCGCACAAGGGGCTGAGGGCCCACAGGCTGTGCTCTACGATTCAACTCGGATCCACGTCGCCATGTCTCGCGATGTCTTCCGACACATCAACTGGTGAGTCCTTGGCGCACCTCCAATGATGCGTTGTTTGTCTATTAACCGCATGCTGAGACTCCCAAGACGATGTGTCAATGTTTGACCTTGTACACGACTGCAGGCTATTGGGTGCGGCGCTGGCACAGGCGAGGCCCGGCCTCAAGGTGGCCGGTGTGACCAATCGTCTCCGTTGCATCCGTAGCCGGGCATTGCTCGTAAGTGAACCGGCATATAGCATACGAGCAACCGACAGTTCCACGATGTGTATCACGGGTTGACCACCCATCCATGTATTGTTGACTGGTGCGTTGTTTACATGTGCAGGCCAGTTAGGTATCTCAACAAGACTGCAACGTTGACTCAGGCGTATTCGTGTGCTTGTTCTTGTGGGAACTTGTCGCACGGTCTTTTAGGAACCTAGAGCGGGGCATTCTTTCGCCCTCGTACAGCATTGTGACTTATTGGCACGCCATGAGATCCTTGATGTGTGATGCTGGGGAGCGTACGCTAGCGGACAAGTTGCACAACAGAACGGTGACATTTCCGCCGGATGACCGTACGGCTTTGGTCAACGATTACATCCACGCAGTGCAGCCAATCCTGGACAACATATCGGCGATGAGAAAGATGGCCGCTGAATTACGCAATCAAGGGACCCACCTAGCTGACGTTGAAGGTGGCATAGAAGCTTTGAAGCTTCTGATTACGAAGACTCATGACATATGCGACACCATGGCCTCTGCGGTGTCAGCGCTGCAGTTGCCGGGGGATTCTGCACTCTTGCATGATGAGCCTATTGATGTGGGTGACCGTGGTGAGGTCGTCGGAGGTGGCTCTCCGCCCCGGCGAAAGTCCGCGAAGCAGTCTTCACGAAAAAAGGGCAAGGAGATCAAGGGGAGATTCGTGGGTATTACTCACCGGCCCTGGAATGGCCGATGGGTTGCTAGACTAGTTTGCGAACGTGAGAAAGACGGGCACATTGTCATTGGCAGCCATTTTGGAAATAAGCAAGAAGCCGCGAGATCACTTGCTGCTAGCGCACATGTGCTATTTGGGCCACACAATGGACCCCGTGGGAGAGTGATAGGCCTGTCTGATAAAGACAAGGACAGGTTGAAGGACTGGAGTAAGGACACCTGCCTGGCTATGATCCGGAACAAGGTCTGGCACCGGTGGGAGAACTGGAGGGAGGCATGGCCTGAATGCCTTAGTAAGTTGGAGGAACGGAGGGCGGCTGCTGCGGTGTCGGTAGATCCTGATGCCTCATCTCAGTCGCGGTGTCAGCGTAGCTCAAAGCGGAGGAGACAGACCCACGAATAGACTACGGGTCTTCCTCGGTCTGTGCCGTGTGTGTTTTATTCGTGTGACAACATTCCATGGGAAACGTTTGAACTATTATTGCCTTTGGTGTGTGTTCACTCGGCATATGGGGGTATACATTGAGTTCTGGTGTGTAAAATCTTGGTTTTGATATCTAAGAGTGCGTGAGTGAAACATAGTTTGAAGGTTCGTATGTGTTAAGCTCAACCCATACAAACGAACTAATGACGGGTGAATTAGTACAAATACTATAATTAAACATCGCGTCAAGGCCTAAAAAGCTTTAACGGGCTACTGTACTCGAGAAACAGTCGGCTTCATTGGTTCATGTACCATTCACGAGCCCCTCACTTGACACTTATCGCAGACAAGTTTTCCGCACGAATGAGTACCATCCGGTGCCACCCACGTAACATTGTTCTGGTGTGGCTATTGCGATGGGACCTAGTTAATTCAAGGCTAATGTTTTATGGCAGAGGTCATTTGCGTCTGTTTCCATCACCTGTCGACCACGATAGGACAACGGGCGCGGAGTCGAAAGGGTGGTTTCTGGTTTTTTTCTATGTCCTTTACTGTTGAGGGCAAACTAATTACTCGAGAAACACTTGTACCTACTTCACTGACTAGTTACTAGCTTTTGACTATCGGTTAGTTTTCAGTGTCTGCATTGTCGCTTGAACCATCGCGGGGTATTCGCGGGCCAGCCCTGTGCACACGGGTGGTCGACTACCGGCTGTTCTAGCCATGACAGGGGGCTCATGGGGTGTGGACGGGTGGCCTCGGTCACTCCCAACCGGCAACACACGCGATGTTCACGGACGTTACACTGGCGTTTCACGAGCCATGTTCTGTAACACAACAGCGGGAAACTGCGGAAACTCACCTGGCTACGTAACTCGCCACCCATTATCAAACCCTTCAATCATCTTATGGATTGTTGACTGGCCAGACACGAGGGCTTGGTAAATTTCTGTTCAGAGCTGGGGAAAGATGTGGCTATGCGCTGACTGCGGGTTGACTGCTTCATGTTTGTGCTTGGGCGCATTTGCTATACAATGACTGGTGGCTTACAGGTTAGTGACGCTGCTGCTACTGGCACTCCAAACCAGCCACACGCGCAGCACTCAGTTACTACACTCCACGGACATTTCACTGGGGTTTCACTAGCCCACGGTAAATGATTCAGTAGCAATGTATTCCCAAGACAAGCACGACCTTGCCGTGAATGTTTGCTCACGGGGTTCTGACGATATAGTGATGGCCAATGAAACCCAGGATATTTTTGTTACACCTGTCCCGCGCTAATTTCAACCCCCCCAAAATTTTTACAGAGCCACCTAGACCAGATTCGGCTGTATCTTTCAGACACCCAGAATCAAAAGGATATGAACATGCTCTCCTCATTGGTAGTTTAAAAAATAACATTCCGTCAGTGGATCAGGCGCACCACCCACTCACACGGGCAATGTTTTCAATTGCAACCTCTGTTGCGTCTACGTACTCGAAGGGAGTCCAAAACTTTAGCTACTTTAAAATAGGTAGCGAGCTATACAACCCTTGGCTCCATAAATAACAAGGGTACCTACCCACGAGGGTCCAACTTCAGGGGTTGAAATTGACGGGGAAAAGGTGTAGCTCCAGGCGATCAATCCGTTTTCAATGTTGGTACAGGCAAACCTTCACGGGGTTTTCACGTTTGGTTGACGTGCGCATGATGCTCTACATGCACGCTAGTGGTTTTATTATTCTCAATAATCGTGAAAATACAGAACGTGGATCTATGGATGCAGTATACTAACCCTAAGTATTCCGTCCTAGCCAAGGTGATCAAAAACCGCCCACTATGGTGACCACGCTAACCCATATAGAATCTACTCTAGCTAGTTGAATCCCCACAGTTCTAATAGTGCCTGCAAAAGGTGCTGTCTCGCGATAGGAATTTCGCCCCTTTGGGCGCTTGCGGTACGTCTTCTTCTCCGGGTAGGCGCTGCCACCGTACTTGCCCATGCAGCGGTTCTTGGTGTGATCGTGCATGTGGCAGACGCTGCACTTGTACGAATGCACAGCCTTCTCGACGCGAGCGTAGCTCGGCGGGCGGCCGGCAGCTGTGCGTCGAAAGGGTGGAGCATCGCACACGCCTGGTGCGGCCAGCCTCCTCCCAAGAACGATGCGGTCCACACAGGAACCGCGCACCGTTGACGAATACGTGTCTGCCCAGTTCTTCGTGGTGTAGAAGTCAGAGACGAGAGTCCGAGGGTCTAGCTTCCGCCGCACAGCAAAGGCCACGGCATGGGAGCAAGGAAACTGGTACTGGTCCCAGTTTGAGCAGTCGCATGTCCTCGCCGCGATGTTGACGTTGAAGGACCTCCACTCCTTGGGATCATCGGTGTCCCTGGTCTGGATGGTTCCTTCCTCAAGATCCCCGCCCAATAGCTCGTACCCCTCCGCCCGTGTCTCTTTTTGCACCATCCGCTCCTCTGCCGCTTCCGTCAAGAGAGCAGTTCTCTCCCGCGCAGCCATTTTGCGTTCACACTACCTATCCTGATACCAGTCCATGAGACCCCCGAGCAGAGGGGTGACTGGCAAGTGACGAATGGGCACGATTGAGCTGTTGACCTGCTCTGCTGCGTTGCTCGTGAAGATCCCAAAGCGACGGGTTGGGGCCTTAATGCGAGTCCAGTGGACGAGGTTGATGCCCAACATCTTCCTCGTACCACGCTTGTTCTGCCTAAACCCTGTCCGCACGCGTGTAGTATGGTCCCCTTCCGCGACACCGGCCTCTCACGTGTTATTATTAGCGTCCTCGTCTGCGACGGCCTGGTTCCCCTCTGCTGTGGCTGGGTCATCCGCATCCTCTGCCTCTGCCTCCTCTGCATCCGCCTCCTCCTCATCGTCCTCCTCAGCGTCGTCTGCAAGGTTAACCCGGGGGTTGCCACTGCCGACATCAGGCCACGGGTGATCCAAAGTGAAAGCGACTAATGTCTGGCAGGTGTTCCCCCCCAGGCTGCTCCTCGCCACCCTGGCCCGAGTTTTCGCTAGATCCTTCTGCCCATGGCAGGTACGTCCGGATGTTGCTGGGGATGTAACCTGTCCTAACCCGTCGAAGGATGCGTGCATAGTCGAATGGACGTGAAGTTGCAGGAGTCGAGCCTGATGGACGACTGGGCGGCTCGTTTGTGGCAGGGGGCTCAGTCGGCTGAGCCGTAGGGGCAGAAGTGCTTTCAGTCGGTGCAGGTCCCGGTTCGGTCGGTGTGGCTCCCGGCCCACTCGCGGTATCCGTCCCACGCCCATGCGCACGTGAAGTGGTGGCGCGACCCATGGCGGCACGCGCTGCTTCACGACCCTGGCGGCGATCTCTGCAGCCTGTTGACGTGCTTCAGCTACTGTTGTGGGAGCGGGAGGTTGCTGTACGCCTGCATCTGCCGGTGATGGACCCGAGATCGGCTTCTCGATGCCGAGGAGATAGTTCGCCATTTGCTTGAAGTCACGGCGGTATGCTGCGACCAAGGCGTCCCATTTGTCGAGGTCCCTGCACTTCACAAGACGCCAATAGAAAAGAGCAGCAGCCTCACCAAACTTCACAACATTCTGATGGAGATGCCACGCACAAAAGTAGTGAGGTATGCCAACCGGGAGTACATCTCGTGCAGCAGGAATCAGGCCCTTGTCGCGATCGCTGATAATGGATGCATCTTGACGGTGCGGCCACTCTGGTAAGCTCTCCAAAAAGTGTTGCAGGAGCCAGGTCCACGAATCTTTGTTCTCTCCTTCGACCAGAGCCCACGCCAGCATCAGAATCTCCTGGTTACCGTCGAGGACCACGGCAATGAGCAGGGTTGCGCGTTGTGCACTGATTAGGAAGGTCCGGTCCAGTGCAACAACGGGTCGGCAAAAG